GCCGAAAAACAATGCAATGGTATTGATGAGGTCCAGTGATGAGTCAAACAATCTCCGCCCACTTCGAAGGAGGAGTTGAATTGCAGCCCACCAAACACAAATCAATTTCGAATCATCTAAATCAATACCTGTTTTCTTCAAAATGTCAGGCATTTTATTATTTTCCTTCGATCCCTTTTCCTTCCGGTGATATCATTCCTCTTGGGATTGGGACATACTTTTGTCTTATTGACTATTTCATGCCCTTATCATTGTTTCACTGTCGTTATTTTGCAGTTGCTAATCATGAATTTGGCTACGGGAATACAACAGACGAAGGTAATCTACATTTCCAGGCTTGATAGCAAGGCCTAGAGAATTCAAACAAACAAAATCAATTTCCTTTGTATTTGTTAGCCCTCATTAACAAGCTGAATTTTTTTTAAGCTATGGAAAAAACTTTAGCAGGGCAAGATTTTCTTCAATTGTAACCGTGACACTGTTTTCATAAATCGAGACATGTTTTTATTCTATTAATAATATATAGTGTATGGCCCACCGGACTGGCACAAGGGATGGGAGGACTGCGGCCATGACCACCAATCCCCAATTAACATCGACACAAGTAAAGTGGTAAACAAGGACTATCGTGATTTGAAAATAGCGTTCGACAACCAGGGGGGCCTGGTCACGGGAAAGCTCGAAAACACTGGTAACTCGCCTACTTTGTATATCGACAAGTCCAAAGGAACAGCTGAAGTAACAGGGGGTCCCCTGGGGGATACCATCTACACACTGAATCAGATCCATGTTCACTTTGGCTGTGAAAACAGCCGTGGATCTGAGCACACTCTAAACGGGAAGCGGTTCGCTGGCCAGGTAACGACGCAAATTGCGCCATTTGTTTTTTTGTTTTTTTTTTGATAAATGACTTCCAGGTTCTATGTATTGTCTTCCGCATTGATAGATGATTTTTATACCTTACCATACCAAAATTCTCCCTGTCTACTGTCCTGATATCCTGTGATATCACGTCACTGACCTGATATGGCTACGATATCATGCTAACTTGGCCGAATTTAGGTACGGTAAATACAGATTCATACCTTTATGGCACGCTTGGACGGCATATTAGACTTGTTTCGCCATGGATATTTTGGCTCTACTACGTCTCACAAAATACGAACCATGGCCCGACCAAACTCGCCTGATATGCCGCCGAAGCATAACGAAAAGGTATGATCAGATATAAATATAGTGCATCATTTTTGTTCATCATCAGTTCTCTTTAGAATTATTCTGAAGTAACGCCCATACAGTTCTATCTGAAGTAACTTCCTGTTAGTGTTCTATCAAATTTCTGCTAACGACCAGCAGTGCCTTCTCTTTTCCTATTTATGTTATTTGTCATAGTCGTAGTCAAGATAAACGTTTGTTCTCTAAATCTATGAAACGTTTTTCTCTTTAAAACCGGGTTGACGTACAATAGCTTTGTCTGTTTACTTCTCTTTTCCTCCAAGCTCCATATGGTGTTTGAAAATTCAGGACAATTTGCAGTCGTAGCCCTCTGGCTTAAGGTACATATTGCTATTATGCTTAACGTTGCTATTTTGTTCTATCCATCTGTTTGCCGTATTTAGCGTAAACAATTTTGCAATATGCAATTAGCCAGTTAGAAACCTTGTCTACTGTTCTAACTGATCTTATGACATCAAGTTACTGATCTGATATGGCTATGATTTCATAGTCACTTTTAACAAAAGAAATTTTTACTTCAGTTAAATTGAAAAGAGGATTTTAAAATAGAACATCAAGCTTGTTATTCAATATTGAACAACTGTTTTCGGGGCACAGAAATTGTCAAAACGTTCCCACCAACCTAAACTTGATCGCGCCGCATAACTGGAGAGAAAGCACGGTTAGGTTCGTTTGATCTCATAGCGTTCGTGGTTTTTGTCGCCTTCGAACTATGGCTCGACCGAAGCCGCCGCAGTGTACAAAATAAGTACCGTTAGGAATAAATTAAATATTACGCAAAAATAACAATGTATAGACATTTTCATTTTCATGCAAATCTCATCTTCATATGAAGGGTTTTGGACTCGGAAATGGCCTATTGACAGGGTAAATTTTCTGACTTCCCCCCTTACAAATAAATAGCATCTCACTTTTATTCAAAGATCCACAAACAGTTTTCTTTTTATAAGTGAAATGACGTTGTTCTCAACAAAATACCGTGGGAAGGTAGACGACAAACTTTAAAACACATTAAGTTGGGAATTAATTGTTTGTTCAGTGTGTATTGTTTCTTACTTTAGCCCTCTTCAAAAGGAAACCCAATTTTAAGAAAATTTGCAAAGCTGCTTCCTAACATCATTGAAGTTGGTAGGTAAATTTTCTATATACATGTAACAAGCCATTCATAAAGTAAAATTTATTTACCCGTTTACAGGTTTATGGACTGACAGGATGTGAAAGTTACAGCGAATTAAAATTTCTGAATGACTTGACTCCACGCGGCGTCTGGATGAAGCCGACGGGAAGCGGGCAATTAACAAAATTTAACTGACAACTGTCAAATAGCTAATATTTTACTATACAAAGTGGGGGCCTCCGGATCGAACGGTCAGGCTTCGAGTCCTGTCTGGGGAAATGATGTTATGTTCTTGGGCAAGACACTTTACACTCTCAGTGCCTCTCTCCTCCCAGGTGTATGAATGGGTACCGGCGAACTTAATGCGGGGGGTAACCCTGCGATGGACTAGTATCCCATGCAGGGGGAGTAGAAATACTCCTATCGCTTTATGGTACATGTACAGAGACCGAGATGATTCAGCCTGATTGGTCACTTGGCTCGTACGCAGACATTACTTACCTACCTTCTTTATAAAAATGCCTAAAATTTTATTTTATTTTATTTTCATGTTTAACTTGTTGTGTGTTAGCTTAAAAGCTAACAAGACGTTCTCTTTTCTGATGTTCAAAATATTTCTTACTATAGACTGGTATAACTAGTCGGAAAAATTGGATTTTACATCGAGAAAGCTAGCATTCACACTCTATTGATCGATTACCCAATTCTCGTCAACTGCTTACTTCATTATGCATGGAATATATGAGGGGAAACTAGCTAATAGTCACAACTTGGCGTTAAACAGAAGATTGTTTATACAGGGGCGAGCAAGGAAGTGGATAAGTCTGACGGTATTCGTTTGATGGGCCTTCTAGCCAACAACAACAACAATGGAGGTAATGGAGGCAATGGTGACAATGGAGGCAATGGAGGCAATGGAGGCAATGGAGGCAATGGAGGCAATGGAGGCAATGGAGGCAATGGAGGCAATGGTGGCAAAAGAGTCAATGGAGGCAATGGAGGCAATGGTGACAATGGAGGCAACGGAGGCAATGGAGGCAATGGAGGCAATGGAGGCAATGGAGGCAATGGAGGCAATGGAGGCAATGGAGGCAATGGTGGCAAAAGAGTCAATGGAGGCAATGGAGGCAATGGTGACAATGGAGGCAACGGAGGCAATGGAGGCAATGGAGGCAATGGAGGCAATGGTGTCAATGGAGGCAATGGTGGCAATGGACGCAATGGAGGCAATGGACGCAATGGAGGCAATGGTGGCAATGGAGGCAATGGTGGCAATGGAGGCAATGGTAGCAATGGACGCAATGGACGCAATGGAGGCAACGGAAACAACGGCAATAACGGCAATAACGGCAATAACGGCAA